CCCGGGGTGATCCCAGCCCCGGGGTGATCCCAGCCCCTGGCCTGCAGCCAGCATGCTCATCATACCACCATCTTCCTCCACCCACAGTCAGTTTCCTTTAAAGGAAGGAGAGGCATATGGGAGGACAGAAGGGTGCCCCACCTCTCACAGCGTTCACAGCACTTGACCGCCCTCATCTGCCCCATTGCCCTGCAGCCACCTTTGCCCCTTCTCTCAGAACGGCAGCAGAGTTGGTCAGTTCAGGTGTAGGTGATCCCCTCATAATTGCTTCATAGTCAGGTTTTTCTGAAAGTGTCCAACTGTATGTTCAGGTACTTTTACACACCTCTCTTAGGGTCATGCTTTCTATGTACACCATATATACACTTAAGTGGTTGAACCTGTAGTGGGTGATTCATTTCTTAAAATATGTAGGCTTTAAAAACTAGGCTCCTGTGAACTTACATGTCAAGGAGTTCAGGGGGGGTCTGAGCGAGACCCCTGCTCTGATGCAGTCCCTCTCTAACCCTGATCTAAGCCCAGGGGACCAGGTAGAGGGAGGCCCCACCTCCCCAGGCAACTTAAAGCAGCTTCAGAGCAGCAGGTGGTGATGTGTGTGGACAGCCCATGTGTGACCAGGCTGCAGGGGCCAGGCTTATGAGTGCTGTGGCCAAACCGAGGTGTGGTGCCCCTCAGGGCCCAGGTGCAGGATCATCCCCAGTGATCACATTGGCACCTGTGCTTTACTGGCTCAAAAAATTTAAGTGTCAAGCATCTCCGTGTGTGTCTGTTCTTTCTGCTTCAAGCTGAGTTACAGTTACTAGACTGAGCGCCCGCACTCCTGGTTCATCCCCTCGAAGTTGTGTAGTTGGAACCGGATGCTTTAGGTGCTTCCTTGTGGCCAGCTGCTCCCACGTGCAGGGGGGGCATTTTTGCTGTGCCGGCTGGTGCTCAGCACCTGGTCCTGGTAGACCTTCCAGCTGCCCGTGTGGCTTGCTGGGCTGAGAGAGTGAATGTGAGACTGTGAGGCTGTGATGAGTAATCAGGGAGTCTGAACTTGATGCCTCTCTGGTCTTTGCTGACCACACGTAAAGTCTGTCAATTCTCCTTGTTCAGCAACTGGTGGAAGCATCTGAGCGCCTGAAGGCCCAGGCCAAGGAGCTCAAAGATGCCCACCAGCAGCGGAAGCTGACGCTACAGGAGTTCTCAGAGCTCAACGAGCGTATGGTCGATCTCCGGTCCCAGAAGCAGAAGGTTTCCCGGCAGCTGCGTGACAAGGAGGAGGAGATGGGGGTGGCCATGCAGAAGATCGACTCCATGCGGCAGGAGATGCGCAGAGTCGAGAAGTCCCGGAAGGAGGTACCTGCCTGCCGCTTGGCTTGGGGTGGGACTGTGGCGGCAGCAGCCTGACGGAGCTGCAGGAAAGCAGCTTTGAAAGCTTGACTGTTAGCAAAGCGGTTTTACCATGAATCTTCAACATTGTGTGAGGCCAGGCTCATCTGCCAAACCTACCTTGTGTAGTGCTCACCCGTCCAGTGTCTGTTTCTGAAATTACGTAGAGGCTGATGCAGTGTGGATTCTTTTCATTCCCTTTCAGGGGAAGCAGGATATTCACACATAACGAGCTCGCGGACGTGCACTGTGCTGTGAGTGGCCCTGGCACGTCCGAGTGCTGCTGTGAGCGTAGACCTGGGGACCCGGCAGGTGTGCTGAGACTCGGGGACCCAACAGGTGTCCGGCTCAGTAATCCCAGGTTCTTTGGTCTCTGACTCCTTTACATGCTCAGCAGTGTTGAGGACTCTGCCTGTTCGATCTCTGCATTAAGATTTTGGGCATTTGTTGTTTTGACAAGAGAGCCAGCTCCTCAAAGAAGCCATTAGTAAAGGAGGGGCCCTGCGGAGCCTCTGAGGTTTCTCAGGGGACACCCCCACATGGCTCTTGGGGAGCCCCAGGACCCTCAGGCCCACTCTGAGAACCACTACTATAGATGTCCCATAAGTACTGTGCTCCCTGCCGGGACATCTCTCAGCCAGTTGTTAAGTGCTGTCATTAGGTTTCAGCTGATAGTGACCCCAGGTACTACAGAACGAACCACTGTCCAGTGTGGACTGTCCACCCCCTATCATGGCAGCTGCCAGGTCAGTCTAGCTCACTGAGAGTCTCCACATACTCACTTACCCTCAGCTTAACCAAATACAGTCTCCTTCTCCAGGAATGGTCCCTCCTGGAAGCATGCCCAATGTATTGAAACGAAGTCTCCCATGCCCACTTCCAAGGAGTGCATAAGTAGTACTTAGTTTTAAACACTGCCAAGATATCTGGAGGACATCCACTTGGTCAGCTAACTGAAAGAGATCTTTCCAAAGAAAGGCGATCCCACAGAGTGTGGAAATTATAGAACAGTATCATTAATATCACATGCAAGCAAGATTCTGCTGAAGATTATCCAAAAATGACTGGAACAGCACATCAGCAGAGAACTGCCTGAAGAGCAAGCTGGGTTTAGAAGGGGTCGTGGTACTAGGGATATTGTAGCTAATGTTAGATGGATCTTGGTTGAAAGCAGAGAATACTAGAAAAATGTCTGTGTTTCATTGATTATGAAAAGGCATTTGACTGTGTGGATCATAACAAACTGTGGCTGACTCTGAGAAGAATGGGAATCCTAGAACACTTGATTGTGCTAATGCAAAACCTAAACTTGGACCAAGAGGAAGTCTTCAGAACAGAGCAAGGAAACACTGCATGGTTCAAAATTGGGAAGGGTGTACACCAGGGATGGGTCCTATCTCCATACCTTTTCTATCAATATGCAGAACAGATTGTCCAGGAGGTTGGGCTGTATGAGGAGGAATGTGGCATCAGGATTGGAGGAAGATCTATTAACAATCTGCGTTATGCAGATGACACAACCCTGCTCGCTGAAACTGAGGAGGACCTGAAGTGCTTGCTGCAGAAGGTCAAGGACTGTAGCCTTCAATATGGATTGAGGCTCAAAATCAAAGAAACAAAGATTCTCACCACTGGGGCAATTGACAGCATCATGATTGGTGCTGAAGAGATTGAGATAGTTAACAGTTTTAGTTTACTTGGCTCCACAATCAACACTCTTGGCACCAGCAGTCAGAAAATTAAAAGACATATTGCAATGAGAAAATCTACTGTTAGAGACCTCTCCAAAGTACTGAAGAGCAGTGATGTCACTCTGGAGACTAAGGTGCATGATACTGGTCTTTGCAGTCACTTGCTATGCATCAGAGATCTGGACAATGATAGAAAATTAATGCCTTTGAACTGTGGTGTTGGAAAAGACAATTGAATATACCATGGACTGCTAAAGAGAACGAACAGGTTCATCCAAGAGAGGGTTAAACCAGGCTGCTCCTTGGAGGCAAGGATTCTGAAGCTGCATCTGACATACTTTGGACATGTTGGAAGGAGGGACCAGTCCTTGGAGAGGGACATCATGCTTGGGAGGGTGGAGGGACAATGTAGGAGAGGAAGACCCTCTATGAGATGGATTGATTCAGTGACTGGGGTCATGGAAGTGGGTGTGTTGGAGACAGTGAGATTGGCACAGGACAGAGCAGGATGTAGGGCTGTTGTACATAAGGTTGCTATGAGTCGCAGGCAACTCAATAGCACATAACAACAAGATTGGCTTGATAAACCAATTGGAAGTCCTATAAATATGTAAACTTTATTCTTATGAGTTTATGTCTGTCATTGAACCTCAGGCTACCTATTTTGTGGTTTCTAAGATACTTAGTTTTGCAATTTAGCTGTATTTGGAGAAATAGCTAACTACCACTCAAGTTAGTGGAACCGCTAATGATGATATATACCAAAATCTCTATTTAAGTTAAGAGTTTAAGCCTATCTTGTTATTAATCATTCTGTGTAAGAAGTGAAGGCTATTTTTCAACTTTTTTTGTTGTTGTTGGTTACACTTTAATACATCAGATGGGCTTTGGGGGACAGTGGGGCACATTCAGTCCTTCTTGGCAGCTGCCTTCCTCATGGCGGCCAGGACATTGCTGAGTTCTTCTCACTTCCTCTTGGCGCGTATGTGTGTCCCCACCCTTTTCTTGATGAACTTGAAGGCCCGCTTGTCCTTGGAGACCTTGAGCAGCTCCATGGCGCGTCGCTCGTAGGGCGCGAAGCCACACACCTCCCGGATCATGTCCCGCACGACCTTGGTGTGCTTGGTGAGGCGCCCGCGGCGGCGGCTGTGCCTCCACTGGCTCACGTTCTTGGTGACTTTGTGGCCCTTGTTGAGGCCCACGGCCACAGGGTAGCGCACTGCCATGGCTGCTGCACGTCGATGGCTGCCGTATTTTTCAACTTTTAACTTATGATAAAATTTTATGAAGGCTAAAGAAATACACAGATTTTGTTGCCTGGGAGACCCTTTGAAGGAGAGGTTACCACCATGGTGCTGGTTTTGTGTTGATAAAAAGTGGATTTACTCTTTTTCGTAGCTGGAAGCTCAGCTTGAAGATGCTGTTGCTGAGGCTTCAAAGGAACGCAAGCTGCGAGAACACAGCGAGAACTTCTCCAAGCAAATGGAGAGTGAGCTCGAGAGCCTTAAGGTAGCCCTGGGCCTGCGTGCTGGACTGAGAGGGAAGATGCCCCCGCCCAGCGGAGACTGCTTTGCGGGAGGGAATGTCCAGACGGGATCCAGGGAGGTGGGAGGAGCCCAACCCTGCCTTCGTTACAGGAGTTCATTTCTAAAGCAGGTGTTACTGCAGTGGGTGCCTTTGGATTGACTGTTGGGCAGCAGCCCCCTCAGACAGGGCGGCTCGGTGCCGTTGAGTGTGGACGGCTGTAGCCTCCAAGGGTCTGACAGCGGGACTCCGTCCCTCAGAGCTGTTGGTGGGTTCAGTCCCCTGACCTTTCACTTAGCTGTCTAGCCCTTAATCCTTGCGGTACCCAGCTGCCTTTTTCTAGCCCCTTTGTGTTGATTTAATTCCTCACCCGAAAGTTTTCAACACTTTCCATTAATCCCAGCAAGCCCACACTTGTGCCTTCTTTATACCTTGATTTATAAATTCATCACCGGCTCTAATCCGGGAACATTCCTAAAAGCCATGAGAGTGGAGCCTAGCTAGGCTGCCGAGCCCGGCCAGCGCGCAGAGGGAGTGGGCAGAACATGAGAGCCTGGCGGCTGGCAGCGCGGTGTGGCTTAGCCAGGTGGCCTCTTCCACCACACCCTCATGTCTTTGTGTGGAACGTGGAGACCATGAGACTTCCTTCTGCACCCAGCCCAGTGCGTCCAGGGCCCGCCCTCCAAGGATTCCTAGTGCTCCCAATCATCTCAGCCACCCTGGCCAGCCACACACCTCCTGACGGGTCTCCCTGCCGCTTGTCACGGTGGCCGTGTGAGCTGAAGTCAGCACGTCCTCTGCCTCACACGGCCCACGGGCCCTCCCTGAGCTGCCTCGTCAGTCCCGTCTCTGGCGTCTCCCCACCTGGCTCACTCTGCCTCGCTACCCCCCTCAGTTCTTGAGCATCGCAAAGCCCAGCACTTCTCTCTTCCCGCGCTCATGCCTTTGCCCATGTGAAGCTACCCCAGCTTCATCTAGTTCACCTGTCACCCTGAAGATGCCTGCCCTGCTGTGTCCCCTTTGTCACTTTATCGCTTGGGGCTGCCTTTTCTGCTCACTTGCTGGCCATCAATCTTTACCCCCCTCCCCATGAGAGCTGCCAGGCTGCCCTGTTTCCAGATGGTTCTTGTGCCCAGTCAGCCTTGTGTGAGTGAATGCACGAGTTCAAGTGGGCCAGGAGAACTCTTGGGCCCAGGCATCCTCTCTGCGGGGCAGGTGCTGTTAGCCAATACCCACCCTGCAGTGATTGTGAAGGTTGTATTTCCAGGAGGTCCCCTCTGTCATGAGACCCAGTGCTTGGATGTGGCAGAAACAGAGGCGTCACCATGAGAATCAGGAAGCAGAGATGGCCCAGTGTAATCACGTGGGCCTGGGTAGAGGCATGCCTCTCAGGGGACCTCAAGACAGCCTGTTGCTGTCACCTTTGTCTCTAGATGAAGCAAGGAGGCCGAGGGTCCGGCACCACCTTAGAACATCAGCAGGAAATCTCCAAAATGAAGTCTGAGCTGGAGAAGAAGGTCTTGTTCTACGAGGAGGAGTTGGTCAGGCGCGAAGCCTCCCACGTGCTAGAGGTGAAGAACGTGCGGAAAGAGGTGCGTGACTCGGAGAGCCACCAGCTGGCCCTGCAGAAGGAGGTTCTGATGCTGAAGGACAAGCTGGAGAAGGCCAAGCGCGAGCGGTGAGTCTCCACAGAGCCCCCTGTGCACACCGGTCCTGGGAGCTGGGACCCTGACAGCCTGTCCCTTCACTCCGTAGGCATAACGAGATGGAGGAGGCCGTGGGCACCGTGAAAGACAAGTACGAGCGAGACAGAACCATGCTGCTCGAGGAGAGCAAGAAACTAACGGCTGAAAACGAAAGGGTAATGCCGTGCGCCGCCTCCGCGTGAGGCACCCAAGGCCCTTCCTCGTTCCTGTGTCTTCAAAGCTTGGTGGTGTCTGTGTAAAAGTGTTTACCTTTCAGATGAAGGAACAAGTTTGATAGGTTAAAATGTCTCCTTTTATGGCATCAGTTTACCTCAATTCAGGAGCGTTTTGACTTCTAGGTTCAGGTTTAAACTGAAATTCGATATAAGTTCGAGGTAAGAAAGTTCAGATGATGAGCTTCGGTTGGAAAAAAATCTCCTAATCTTCGAGACAGCTTTCAAGATCTTAGAAAGAACTTAATTGTTTATTTTCCTCAAGGTGTGTGTCAGAGCAGAACTGCGCCATGTATGGTTCTTGGGTTGGGGGGTGGTTTCCTTTTTACCCAGGTTTGAGTGGAAGTTTCCAGAGCACACAGGTTTTCCATTTGATACTTTACCCATAGTGTGTTGAGTGACACTGATAATAGTCACAGCCGCACTCCCCCTTCCTCCCTCTGTCTCCTATTTCTGTTTTTCCTTCTGTCCCTGCTGCCTTCTGACCTTTAACCTGGGAACCTGGGCACACACTGCCCTCTTGATCTTGCGTCTTTGGTCGTTCTTTCACAATGATCACCTTAATGGGCTTGTCCATTGTTTGGTGGAAGTTGAGTTAGAGAACAAATATAGGTGTAGTTACGCTGGCTCCTGCTGTAAATACGCCAGATTGCATTAGGCCTGTGTGGCAATACGATTTCGTTTCAGCTCTGTTCCTTTGTGGATAAGCTGACGGCTCAGAATAGACAGTTGGAGGACGAGCTCCAGGATCTGGCGGCTAAGAAGGAGTCAGTGGCCCACTGGGAAGCCCAGATCGCGGAGATCATCCAGTGGTGAGTGGTGAGCCCAGCAGCTGGCTGGCCCTGTGCATGCGGGACTGTGCGCCTGCCTTCCACTCACCTCTCAATCTCATTCTGTCATTGCCCACACTCTGGTCTTCTAAGGTGGAGGTTTGGCGCTCGTGGTCATCCCCCTGATACACAACGCTTGGGCCACGTCTTGTCCCCTGACTGTCACACAGGACCAGCTGTGGGGGTTGGGGGCACAGCCACCTTCTCACCTACAGACTTGGCTCAAGCTCTTGATTCCGAGACAAGTGGAAAAGGAGCAGAGGAGACAAGAAGCATTAGCTCAGCGCCCTGTGAGGCTGGTGTCTGGGGATAAAGTCCCTCCTGTCCTGCGAGGATGGGGACATCTCACCAACGGCCACAGTCAGGACACCAGCCCAGCCCTGCCCGCTTCCCTTCTCTAGGGTCAGTGACGAGAAGGACGCCCGCGGCTACCTCCAAGCGCTTGCTTCTAAGATGACCGAGGAGCTTGAGACTTTGAGGAGTTCCAGTCTGGGATCAAGAACGCTGGTAGGTTTTTTCCAGAGCTGGCATTTTTATTACTACAGAACTCTTTCGAGGGGTTAAGCATGACCTTGTCAGTGAAGAATTTTCCAGACAGTTTGGCAAAAGATTTTGAAACCCAGAGACGGGAGCCTATCCTGCTTTCAGGAACATCATGAGTTCTCTCACCAGCAGATAATTGTCAGTCAGCAGATAAATGACCAGAACCCATCAGACGCTTGCATTTTCCTCATTGAATGTATCCATTCTTAGGTGTGTTTGTTAGTTCCCAGCATGTGGCAAGCATTGAGCTCAGCCTGGCTGATGCTTAAAGCTGGGAGCTGAAAAGGGAGTTTAAAACACCATCCTTCTAGGTTTAAGATTCTCACCGCTGGGCTGCTTGGCAGCATTATGATAGATGGTGAAGAGATTGAGATTGTTAACAGCTTTACTTTTCTTGGCTCCGCAATCAAGACTCTTGGCACCAACAGCCAGGAAATCAAAAGTTGAACTGCACTGGGAAAGTCTGCTGTCAAGGACCTCTCCAGAGTACTGAAAAGCAATGGTGTTAGTCTGGAGACTAAGGTGCACCTGATCCAGACCATAGTCTTCACAATTGCTTATTATGTGTCAGAAAGCTGGACAATGACTAAGGGTGAATGAAGAAGAACTGATGTCTTTGAGCTGTGGTGCTGTAGAAGAGTGTTGAATATACCATGTACTGCCAGGAGAACAAACAGGTTCATCCTGGAGAGGGTGAAATCAGTCTGCTCCTTGGAGGCAAGAATTCTGAGGCTTCATCTGACATACTTCAGGCATGTTGCAAGGAGGGACCAGTCCTTGGAGAGGGACATGATGCTTGGAAGGGTGGAAGGACAGAGAAAGAAAGGAAGACCATCGATGAGATGGATTGAATCAGTGACTGGAGTAATGAGGGTAGGTGTATGAGAGACAGTAAAGTTGGCACAGGCTAGAGCAGGGTTTAGGGCTGTTGTACATGGGATCACGATGAGTCGCAGGTGACTCGACGGCACATCAGACTCTGTGGTGGGCCCTGCCAGGCACTCACTCCTGAGTTCATTTTATCCTGTCTCAGTATTATTCAGAGGCAGTACATGACATAGGAGGGGATGGCCTATCTTTCTCCCGTGATGGCCTGGAACTGACAGTATTGCTTTTTACAGGGTTATATTGAAAATAGCGAGCAGGACACCTCCCCTCTCCCAGTTCGTTGGGTCTGGCACATAGACAGCATGGTTGTTTGATTCAGAATTACTGAAATGTAGGCTGTTGATCTTCACGTATTCCGTTTCTTTTCGTAAACTTACCGTAATTACTCATGAATGTATGTTTGCAGCTGTTTCCTCTCCTTTTCCTGGAGTTGTGTTACAGTGAAGGTCCTGAAAGCTTTAGTCCTTTGACTCCGTTCAGATCTTCTCCCCTGTGAGTAGCCCTTCCCCAGTTGTTTCCAGTGTGCCGACCTGCAGGGCTTGTCTCCTGGGGCTGTGGAGACCATGTCCCACTGCTGCTCAGATGGTTCGCATTGGCCCGTTTTTCCAGTTGCTAGCCAGGCCCCTCTTCCTCGTCTGTTTTAGTCTGGAAACTTACCATTTGTCAGTTTGTCCTACTCTGTTGTCTTGCATGTTGCTGTGATTTCGGAAGTTACGCCCCGGTATTTCACGTGCCAGCTGAGTCACCCACAGTGGGCAGTTTGAGCAGAACTTCAGGTAGAGTTTGCAACTCCTGATGTTTACATGTACACCAGCACTTGGGAACTTCATCCAGCAGGTTGTGTGCACAAAACCCTCAGGAGATGAAAGCACATCACCATGCCTTTTTACAGCATTGGAGGACGGGGCCTCTGTTGCGTGTAGCACACGCATAGCTCATATTTATGTTGCTCATTCGTTGGTGCTTGAGAAAACCCGTGTTGGTTGTGGTCCTCCCAGGACCCCTGGCTGCTCCCAGCCCGCTCTCGCTGTCTTCACAGTGTGCAGGTGCCGCCACCTCTGTTGTCCGCACGTATCTTCTTGTGGTCTCAGACTCACTGGCGTTGAGTTGATGTGGCCTCGCTGTGACCCTCTGTCTGGCTTCTGAGGGTCAGTCTTGAGGAGACCCCCCCCTCTTCTCCCACACCCTCTTGCCTGGTAACTGTGAAATGTCACTTTGCTTCTGTTTGATGCGTGGGTACAAAGGAACATGGTTGCACTCTCAGCAGAATTGACGAAAAGCAAATCAAGGTGGAGTCTCTCGGCTGCGTTTTTATCTTCCTAAGCCCTCCTGCCTGCGATAGAGACGGTTAGCTTCCTTATTTGCATCCGTTTAGGACGTTCATCACTCTCCGTTTTCTTAGGATATTAGTCTTTGTTTATCATTGCACAGAGTGATCGATGAGAAATGTAATGACAGGATTCTTGGTCAGGTAAACGAAGAAAATGTTTGCAGATACAGGAACACCAGAATAAGGTCACGTCATGTCTCTTAAAGGAATTGAGTAGACCGTATTGAAACTACCAGTTAGAATCTGGTGGGATTTTCTTTCCCTAATTTTTTTTTTTTTAAGTAACTCTTGGGAAGACTCTTTTGAAAGAAGAAAGTATCAAATACCAAATTAAAGCTAGTCCAGCATACCGATACTACATGAGGGCTAATATGTAAAGTAATAGGCGAGAACAGGGAATTGCTGGTTTGTTCACTTGTTGTCATGTTCCCCCTGGTGTCTCTAGGACCCGCTGTGGAAAGTCCGCCGTAGCCAGAAGCTGGACATGTCGGCCCGGCTGGAGCTGCAGTCGGCGCTGGAGGCTGAGATCCGGGCCAAGCAGCTAGTACAGGAGGAGCTGCGGAAAGTCAAAGACTCCAACCTCGCCTTTGAAAGGTGCGGTGTGTGCTGCGGGCTCTGGGCCAGCGTGTTTGGGGTGGGAGCCGAGATGTGATGTGCTGGGCCCACCGTGTTTGGGGTGGGAGCCGAGATGTGTGCTGGGCCCTCTGTGTTTGGGGTGGGAGCCGGGATGTGATGTGTGCCGGGCCCGCCGTGTTTGGGGTGGGAGCTGGGGTGGGTGCAGTGTGTTTGGAGTGAGATCTGGCATGTGGAGGTTGCTGAGATGTGCAGACCCTGGGAAGCACATATACCCGAATCACAGGGCCATGGTGTGAATGGCCAAGGACAGAGGCCAGTCGGGACAGTGAGCTGCTGGGAGGCTGGGGACAGGTACCTCACACACCATGAAGGCCCTGTGAGGGCTTCGGGGGACGCAGATCTAGCATTTGGCTCTCTGAGGTGAGAACGTGGTGCTTGTCGTCCACATGCTGCAGGACGCCCACAGGCCCCTGCTCTCTCGTCACCTCAGACCAGGTCAGTTCACTGGGTGAGAAGCTGGAGCTAATACTTCAGATATAAGTGGAAGACGGTGAACCTGCTCCAAACTTCATTTCCAGCCTTCAGATGTCAGAGCTGTTTTCACACAGCAGATCCAGCCCATGCTTGCTGAGTCTGCCACCTCTAGGGGCCCTGCCCTCTGCTGTCCCTCAGACCCTGTTCCCTGGACCCATGGCGCCCTCTGTGTTTTGTTTTAGTAAACTAAAGGACTCCGAAGCCAAAAACAGAGAATTACTAGAAGAAATGGAAATTTTGAAGAAAAAGATGGAAGAAAAATTTAGAGCAGATACCGGTAAATCTCAGTCATAAGCTTGGTTATTTAATTATGAGCCTCTTTGAGTTGAACTTACTGATATTTTCTCTTTGAGTCAGCTGTTTGACTTGTTACATGAAGCACTGGTGGTTCCAGAGGCGGAAGGAGGAGGCGGGGCCCGCTGGAATCTCCTTCCCTCCACAGCTCCACACCACAGTTGTCCCCCATACACACACCCCAGTGGTCTCCCCCCACCACAGCGGCACACACCCACACCCTGCAGCCACCCCCCAACAAATACCACAGCGGCCCCCACCTAACATACACCATAGCCACCCAACCACACACACTATAGCTGTCCCCCAAAAAAGCACACCACAGCTGTCCCCAACACACACACCACAGCTGCCGCCAACATCCACACCACAGCACCCACACACGCAAATACACACACACTGCAGCCATCCCCCAACACACACACACAACCCCCCCATGGCTCACACACACACACACACCCCCACACACCCCCACCTGCAGCAGTGGCCCACACACTCCTGCAGCCACCACTGTGTCCACCGGGGCGGGGAGAAAGGTCGCCTTGTGCAGACCCCATGCGATTTTCTCAGGAGCCCACTCGTCCATCAGTGTGTTTAAGGGCATTTCGATTTCTCCTTGGGGGGTGTCAGTGTCTTTTGTCCCCTTCAGACCATCAGCTTGTTCTGACTGAGTGGAAGCGCTGTATGGTTGGACCTCCGACTTGGTCTTTGCTTATGGTGCTTTTTTTGTCCAAGCAGGTGTTCTTAAGCTTTCCTGGAGAGTCAGATTCTCTAGGCATTTACTTTTTTGAGTCATGTTGTTGTTATGTGCATTTTGAGTCATATGTAGGGAAATACCCCCCACTCTGAGTTATTAAAAACCCCACCCTTGTGTTTTTCTAATACTTGTACAGTTTTTTCAAATTTCAATCACTGGGCCATTTAGAATTTTCCCCAATGTACAGTGTGAAGGATGGGACCCCATTTGACTTTTTTTTCTTTTTCTCTCTCTCTCAGTTCTTTCTTTCTTTGTTTAAATAAGATTTTTCTTTTATAGTGGTTTACTTACAAAGTTCTTATACATTGCTTTTCACACCAGATCTTTCTCATTTCCTTTACCCACCTCTCCCTCCACCCATCAATCGTGCGACCCTATGATTAGCCACCTCCCACCCCAGCCTATCCTCACCACTCTGCTTCCCCCGCCCCCTCTTGGATCCTTACACACCTTCTACAATAATGATCTTAAACAGTACTTGTCCTTAAGGGGACTGAGTTAGTTCATTCAGCATAATGCTTTTCAGTCCCTCCCAAGTTAGGTAGTGACTGCATAGTATTCGTGTGAATGTACCATAATTTTTCAATCCATTTAATTGTGGTTGGACATTTGAACTCTTTCCATATTCTTGCGATGGTGAATAATACTGCTATGAACATGGGTGTACAAATCTCCATTTGTGCCTCAGTTCTCATTTTCTTGAGGTATATTCCAAACAATAGAATATCTGGGTCATATGGAATTTCTATGTTCAGCTTTTTGAGGAAACACCAAACTGCCTTCCAGGGTTGTTGTATCATTTTACAATCTCACCAGCAGTAAATAAGAGATTCTATCTCGCCACATCCTCACCAACATTTATTACTTGCCGTTCTGTTAAACTTTGGCACTGCTACTGGGATGAGCTGGTATCTCATTGTGGCTTTGATTTGCATCTCTCTAATTGCCAGTGATTTTGAGCATTTCTTTATGTGTCTATTGACCATCTTCAGTGAAGTCTTTCCATGTCTTTTGCCCATTTTGTAATTGTTACCAGTCTTTATCTTGTGGAGGCCATGTAGGATTCTATAAATTTTTGATATGAGACCCTTGTCTGAGATGGTATTGCCAGATGTTTTTCACAGTCATTACACTTTCTTTTCACTCTGTTGGAAAAGTTTTGATGTACACAGGGGTTTAATCTTTAGAAGGTCCCATTCATCAATTTTATCCTGTCCAGATTGTGCATTTCTAGCTGTATTTGGCAGTCTCTTTATACCATAGACTAGGCCATCTAAGCTTGGCCTCGGTTAGTCTTATGAATTTTACGTTTTTCGGCTTTATTCCCAGGTCTCTGATCCACCTTGAGTTGTTTTTTGTACATGGTGTGAGATGTAGATCCTGTTTCAGATTTCTGCAGGTAGTAGTCCAGTTTTGCCAGCACCATTTGTTGAGAGATTGTCATTTCCCCATTTGAGAGGTTTTATTTCCTTGTCGAATATCATTTAACCATAGCTAGGTGGGTCCATTTGTGGGTTCTCGATTCTGTTCCATTGATCTAAGTGCTTGTCGTTGTACAGTACCATGCTGTTTTGGTTACCACTGCTGTGTAGTAGGTTTTGAGGTCAGGGAGTGCAATGCCTCCCACTTGGTTTTTGTTTTTCAGAAGTGCTTTGCTTATTTGAGGTCTCTTTCCTCTTCAAATAAACATGAGTTTCCCCTTAGATCGCCTTGAAAAAAGAATTTGGTGTCTGTATTGAATTGAGTTGAACATGTAGATTGCTTTTGGTAGGATTGTCATTTTCACGATATTGAGTCTTCTATCCATGAATAAGGCACATTTTTCCATTTCTTTAGGTCTTTTATTGTGTCTCACAAAAATATTCTGTCATTTTCTTTGTATAGGTCTTTTGTGTTCTAGATAGGTTCACTCCCAGGTGAACCTATTTTTGTGGTTGACTGTTGTAAATGGTATTGCTGTTTCCTTCTCTTTGTTACTGTAGAGGAATCCCATTGATTTTTGGATATTGATCTTATATCCTGCCACTCTACTAAATTGGTCTACTAGCTCTAACAGGATCTTTTGTTGAGTCCTTGGGGTCCTGTTTGACCTTTTTGTGCCTGTGCCCCAAGAACATTCTGGAGCGTTCTCTGTACGCAGATGCTGTTCTTTCTTAATCTGTTAAGACAAGTTCCCCCCAGGCTCTCAGGTCCAGCCCCTCTCAACAGCATGTCCTCCGTTCTTTTCCTTAGACTTTCCAACGTTGTCTTCCTTGGTTGCTCTTCCATCTGGAAGGGGGGTGGAGAGTGTTTGTATGTTTGCAAAGGGTCATATGCCATTTTTACCATTTTTTGCATTTACAATTCAGTGAAATTCATTACATTCATACTGTGCAGCCATCACCACTATTTATTCTTATTTTCTGATAAAATCTCTCTTCTTTTTTGTTATTTCTGTGGAGCACATACCTGGAAGAGCATAGACCAGTTCGACACTTGATGCAGCCAGTCGAGTGACCTCAGCTCTGTCCTTAGAGTTTTACGGCCAGTCTCGCTCTCCTTTTTCAAATTAATGCTCTCCAGTCAGCGAAGCCCCGCTGTCTGCTGAGCTTCCCAGTCAGACTTTAAGATTGCTATTTGTTTGATCCTGTATCGGTAGTTCTTTTTTTTTTTTATTCCTTTAATTTTATTTTATTTTGTGTACCGTCAAAGTGGATCTCACTGGTATAGGAGGAGATTGCCCGTCCTTCTCCAGCAGAGCACCTGGTAGATTCAAACCACAAACCTCTGGGATTGCAGTACAGCTTCTTGCCAGTAGGCCACCAGAGCTCCCTAATGTATCGAGTTGTTAAGAGAGTACAATGTTCAAGGCCGATAGTCTATACTGACTAGTCCAGCATTTGTACAGAAAGTCAGGAGCTCTTAGTAATGCCCCATCTTCCTCTCCCCCAGCTCCTGGTGACCGCCAGTCAGTTTGGCCTCCTTGCGTTGCCTCTGCTATAGATTACGTACACATGGATCGAGCTCCATTTGTCTTTCTGTGTCTGAGTTACGTACCTGTTTTCATAGGTCATCCAGACTATGTCTGTATCAGAACGTCATTTCTCTTTTAAGGCTAAGTAATATTTCATTCTGTGTATGAATCACGTTATGTTGATCGTATCATCTCCCCGTGGACACTCAGTTGTTTTACCTGTTGGCTATTATGAATACTACAGTGAACAGTCACATACAAGGATGTGTGTTCAAGTCTCGTAGTAGACTTGTGGGTCTTATAGTAATTCCATGCTTAACTTTTTGAGGAGCTGCCACCGGGCTTCTAACTGGGGTGTGTGTGTGTGTGTGTGTGCATGTGTGTGTTTAAGAGTGTAAGATTTGTGTGAAACTTTGCAAACCCAGTTGGCATTCCAGTCCGCCATTTATTCACATTCTGTGTTGTGACATTATTTCTGGTACACATAGGGAAGCCACCCTCTTCCTATTTTCTTCTCTTATCTTCCACCTCCTGCCTTCTAGTTTTGGGAAAATGCTGCCCCTTGGATCCTCTGTGGTTGATAATTCCCAAGTGAACTTCTAAATTGACTTGTGTAGCTCCAGGAAGAAAGCCTCGTAGTAGTTTTACTAGGATCACACAGAATTTATCTGTTAAGCTGGGGGAGAATTGGCATTCTTACTTATTACTTACAACACTGTCTTTTAATAAGATGACTCATTTTATTTCGTTTTTAGGGTATTTTGTGTGATGAAGGCGTACAGACCGTATTGATTTTTCATACAATCATTCATAGACATCGTTTTATAATTTTAATTGTCATTGATTACTGTAATTCATTAATGACAGTGTCTGACCCCTTACTGAATATTGCTTGTCGTGTCGCTTATAAGATGCACTGTTTTTTTATTTTACCTTTGACAGGTCTTTGTTTCTTACAGGTCTAAAACTTCCTGATTTTCAAGATTCTATTTTTGATTATTTCAACACTACACCTCTTACACATGATCTAACGTTCAGAGTAAGTAAGCATTGTTTTAAAAGTGACAATTATTTATACATTGAAGATCGTGTACTGCAATTTGATTAGCTGTGGGATCAAAACGCACACTGTCGGTTAATGCCTAAAGGGCTCTTGAAGCTGTGCTGCCCACCTTCCTTGACCTTGGACAGGAACCTGAGAGTAGGACATGGGAGGTCTTTGCTTCTGGACAGAGCTCAGTGGAGGCTCATTCCGGAAGAAATGGACCGTGTTTCCTGATCGAGCACTTACGGCAGCATTTCTCTGACCAGTTGAGAATAATTCAGTCATGTTACCATTATGATCAGCTTTTCTCTGGCTATGTATTTGAGTTCAGCTTTGGTGTAGTTGAGGTTCATTTATAAGCAGCAGTCGTGGCTAGGTGGCCTTGTTAAGGGCCTGGAGTTGGTGCCCTCTGCTCTGGAAGGTGGCTCGTCTGCACAGCTCAGAGCACATTCTCAGGACATCAAGCCTTCCAGAAGTGCTCTGCTCCGGGGAACCACCCCTCACTCCATGAGCTGCCCCTCCTCAGGGGTTCCAGCGAGGTCAGCTGTTCTTTCCCTTATAGGGCAAACCCCTATCAAGCTGAAAGAGTCCCCAAGTGGAGCACGGTTCCATCAAGGCAGGTCTCTAGCGGGCCCTGTTCATTGCTGCTATTTGTTTAATAACATTTTGAACTAACAGGAGAGTCCAGAGGCTACCACAGTGAGCACATAGTGGGCCTCTCTAGTGTTTATCCTCGTTTGTTTTCTGCGTCTCACACTAAACACACTGGTTACCATGCAGTCGACGGACGTGTGGCGACTCCTGTGAGCCGAAGCAGAACTGTGCTATATCAGGGTTTTCGTGGTTAAGTTTTCAGAAGCAAATTCCAAGTTTTTCTTCTAAGGTGCCTCCGGGTAGGCTTGAACCCCCATCTTTTGGGTTAGCAGCTTAACACATTCCTGTTTCCCCCAACCCAAGGCCCTTTCTCATCATGCTCTTTCCTTCCCTCAGCTATTTGAAAGTAAGTTAAAAAAAATAAACCCAGAAAAGAAAGTTGCAGGCGTTAGTAACCCCTAGATTCTTGAGCATCGTTTTCCTAAGATGAGGACGTTCTGCATACCCCGGTCCCCCGTCATCCACGCAGAAGGAATTGTGCACTGTGGTGCGCCGTACTCACACCCCGCACTCAGTCCCTGTTCAGATGGCCCTGTGGCCCCATCCCGTCCCCCGAGGTAGTGTCCTCCCAGGTTGACGTTAAGCTCTGTGCCTCTGTCCTCTGATGCTAAGCGAGTCCATCTTTATGGTCACCGAGCACACACGTCGTCTTGTGAACCATCCACACCCTGGATTTGCCCGTGTTCTCTGCCATTAGATGTGGTGGACACTTGGCAGGCCCTACCCAGGGGCGAGGGTGTCCTTCCTCAGGAGCTGGGGGTCCCTCTGCCTGCACCTGGGGGTGCTGAGTTCAAGCACGAGGTCAGGGTGGTGGCTGCTAGCCCTGCCCATGGAAAAGGGACCTCCCGTTGTAAGTAAGGCGCCACCTGGGAGTGACCATGTTACTGGCTGCCCTCAGCCTCTGTCCTGGTGCCCTCAGTGGGCGCTAGCAACGTCCAAAACCTGAGCCATTCATGTTATTTCCATCCTTTGCAGCCCAGAAACGTTGTTCACAAGGGGGTGGTGCCATGCTCCCCTGGCAGCCTCGGTGCTGACCTGCCGGGAAGCCCATCGTGGACAAGCCCCCACTGCACAGCCTCTCGGGTGGCCAGGGAGCAGCAGCTTTTGGTCCACTCCCGATGGAGCAGAGTTTGGTGGCTGCTAGGTTTGGGGTGGTGCACAGAGCAGGGTTAGTGGTTCACAGTGGCACGGCTCATCGGTCCCCCAGCTCCGTGAGGAAGGATGTGTCAGACTCCTTGTCAACACAGAGCACCCGCGGTTGGTATGTCCAGACTCCGAGGGTGATTCCTAAGCGACTCGTGTCCCTTCGTTAAACCCGAGACTGGTTCTAGAGACGCTTTGCACAGAGATGGAAGCTCCGCTTGTCACGCACGTTTTCACTGGTGGAAATGATCTTTTTCCCCGTCTGTTGCACAAGGACTCTGTGTCCTCTTCATCCACGTCTTCTCTGCTAGACTTGTGGGAAGAAGTAAGTTACCAGCAGCGCTGGGTGTCAGCGCTCCCTCCCTGCAGTAGTGATGGCTCCTCTCGTCATTTGCATCCTTTTGATTAATTAATGCACTAAATGAAGCCAGTAGGGCTTTACATGACTAAAATTAAACTGCTTAATATTCTTACGTTTCTCAATTATGGAGAGATGGAACTCTAACTCATCTAACCAACCTCGTTTACGGGAACTGAGCTGCTCTGTCGAGCCCCATAACCAGCTAATTGACGTAGCTTCTCCCTCGAGCCTTTGTTTACGAGCTGGGATGTTGCAGTCAGAGGCGGAGCTCCAGCAAACAGTGCCCATGGCAGTTCCCATTTAAACTTTCAGAACTGGCGGGGAACTGCTCGTTGACACCCCTCCAGTGGCTCAGGGCACCTGCCGCCCTCCAGGCTGTCAGCTCCACCTCTGATTGCAATCTGCGGTACACAGGTGCCCGTGTGTACGTGCCGCTCTGCCTTCACGCCTGAGTGAGGTGCCCGCTCATCCACCTCCCGCTCTTAACACCCATTAGGAAGCACCTGTCGTTGTCTTTGGTCCATCGGGGGTCTGAGAGCAGACACCCTAACCTGCAGGCTGCTCTTCAGGAGCCTCCGAGCTCCCTGGCTCCTCTGAGGAGTTTAGAGGCTCAAGTCATGGTCTCAACTGTTAACCTGAAGGTTGGCATTTTGAACCCACCAGCCACTTCTCTGGGAAGGCAGTGGCATTCGGCCTCTGTAAAGCTGCTGGCCTCAGAGACCAGCCCCTCCCGGCCGTTCTGCCTGCCTCCAGAGTCACGGGCACTCAGGACTGACCGGCCACTGGGAGGGCAGTCGCTGTTCCCACAAAGCACGACCACGGCACACGTGCACCTGTGTCAGGATGACTGGTGGTGGCATGCTTGTTCTCGGGGTGTTTGTGTCACATGCAGTTGTTTACACTGTCGACTCAGTGTCAGCTAGACAACTGTGGAATTCACTTAGAAATTGTGGGAGCTTAGAGCCGATCACAGCTATGCTTCCTGGCTCCGCGCAGCCTGCGAGGTTCTTCCCTCCTTGGCAGTGACCTGGCGCACACCTTGGCCCCTGGAGGGAGGTTACAGAGCACTGGCTAGTTCACCTCAGGGCTACCAGGTGAAGATAAAGTTACCTGTAGATACCTTCCAGTGAGTGCCATTTCCCAGTCCACACCCTGTAAGTGCCCAGGAAAAAGAGGGGGTGTGAGTGGGGCTCACGCCAGACCACACCCTGTGAGTGAGTCAGGAAGAACAGGGGGCTCTCAGATTTGGACCCCCCGAGCCTGAGGGCAGTGCAGGAGGCGGACTGGCTGTGTGGCCAGGGCACTGTGCCCTCAGGCTCGGGGGTCCTGCGGGGGGCCTCTGAAAAGTCTCCGTGGCGGGGTGGCCCATCCTCGGTGGAGATACCCAGCCTTGGTGGAATGATGAAGAGGTGACGAACCTGAGGTGAGGGCTGGGTCTTGCAGACGGAGCCCGCCATCCTCCTCTTCCCTCTGTTTCCACAGACAGGCTCAGCCGGTGAGCAGGAGGCCCACACAGCAAAGCCAGAAGCGTCCCCGTCGATGTCCACGCCTGCAGGCATAGACCAACCGGAAGTAAGACTCTTGGCCAGGGGGGCTCCCGGGTCCTTGGTCCCCCTCCCCTGCGTTCTGTGTGCCTCGTGGCAGCAGCACTCTGGTGTTGGGCTGCTTGGCACCCGTGCCCAGCTCAGCCAGGACTCTGCTTTCACGATTCCTGACAGCTAGGTGAGGGGCACCCTGACAGCTGTCTCTACAATGTAACTGATTAAAGATGCATAACTGTTCATTATTAATACGTTCTAGAAATTACTCCCTGGGGTGCAGCACGGCCAGGAGTGTCGAGATCAGCACAACACTCACGGTCTCTGCTTGTCTCCCAGGACATGGCTCGTGCTCTGCCGAGGCCAGCCGCTGTCCCCCTGCCTGCCACACCGGCCCTCGCCCTGACTGGACCCAAGGTAGGCCCTGCCCCGAGCCCTCCGTACCTTGTTGGTGTCAGAAGACGCTTCTGTGTAAACTTGCCTTCTGTGCAGGGCCTTGGGCACCTGTGTTTTGTCTTGGGTGCTCTGAGTGCCACACCCTGTGACATTCTGGAACTGCGTGTACCTGCTCTGAATGTGTCATGACAGAGCGGTGCTCCCAGAACAGTCCTGGGACCGTGTGCATCAATCAGTTCTGGGGCTGTGTACACCCCACTCCGTGCGCATCAGCTCGGAGCTGTGTACCCAGAACAGTCTTGGGGCTGTGTGCACCCTACTTTGCGTGCGTCTGCTCTGAGAGGTGCACCCTGCTTTGTGTGTATCTGCTGTGTGCAGTGCACTCAGAACAGTCCTGGGCTGTGTGCACCCTGCTCTGCTGTAGGTCTGGGACCACATGCGCCTCCACACCACATCAGGCTCCTCCGAGTCCAGCCTCTGTCCCCTCTACCCTTCGCAGGAACCACTCTGGGATGTGCCCCTGCCCAGCTCCTTCTCCCCTCATCCGTATTCACCTGTGTGGGCACATACAGAGCCCTGTGGTTTGCAGATTGGGGTTGACAGACTCTCGCCCTAACAGAACGCATTGTACAGGCGTGGCCTGTCGTACAAGCCCCGTGCAGATCTGGAGAGACAATGCTCAAACCCCATGCAGATAGAGTACTGTGGAGGGACGATGTTCAAACCTCGTGCAGATAGAGTATTGTGGAGGGATGGTGTTCAAACCCCGTGCAGATAGAGTACTATGGAGGGACGATGTTCATACCCCATGCAGATAGAGTGCTGTGGAGGGACGATGTTCAAACCCCATGCAGATAGAGTATTGTGGAGGGATGGTGTTCAAACCCCGTGCAGATAGAGTACCGTGGAGGGACGATGTCCAAACCCCGTGCAGATAGGGTACCGTGGAGGGATGGTGCTCAAACTCCGTGCAGATAGAGTACTATGGAGGGACGATGTTCATACCCCATGCAGATAGAGTGCTGTGGAGGGACGATGTTCAAACCCCGTGCAGATAGAGTACTGTGGAGGGATGGTGCTCACGACGAGTCTTTGCTCTTGAACAGACGTAGACTCTCCTCCAGTTCAAACGTCCACAGCCAATAAGAGACCCAGAGACTTGGTTCAGATGGAGGCTAGTGGTTTAGCGTTAGGTTCTGGTAGTCAGGAAGACAAATGGCGTTCCTTTGTGTAAGACAGGGTGGTTTGAAATGTAACCACAGCCTTGGGCTTTTTGTCTCCACACTGGGCTGCTCTGGGGACCACCTGTCCCACACGTGGCCCCAAGCACCCTAAGAGCAGGCCGGTGTGGGTCCTAAGAAGGAGGCCCAGGCCCTTTGTTGGGGGCCAGCTGCTCCCGGGTTGACCCTGCTCTGGAACGTGCCTGGCCAGCAGTAGAATTGGCAGCTTTCGCGATGAGGCCAGCTTGTTGCTCACCAGTCGACTGGCCCCCTCGGCTCTCAGCTGGAGGCTCACCCTGCTGCTCTCCTTCAGCCCAAAGCGCACCAGTTCAGCATCAAGTCCTTCTCCAGCCCCACGCAATGCAGCCACTGCACCTCGCTCATGGTGGGACTCATCCGGCAGGGCTACGCCTGTGAGGGTGAGTGCGGGCCTCACTGGCACGTCCCTGGTTTCTGTAAATGCTCGGTCAGGTGGTGGGCTGAGATCGTGACCCCCAGGGCAGTTGGACAATGCCCTACTGCAGGGCCCTGGTCATCCACTGTCCAGCATCCATTGTTCAAGGCAGCACAGCTGGATTCTAGAAAGTCGGGAAAGTGAACTCACCCAGAGAAAGGGCAGTTGGGGTTACCTCTGACAACTGTCACCGTTATCATGATATTTGGGGTCCCCGCCCACTGTACCAGGTGCTAAGTGGAGTTCCATGTCCACCTGGATGCTGTGGCCTCATCCATTCACACCTGGGCAGGGGCACTGCCATGAAAGGCCCCCTCGGAGAGGCCTGCTGCTTGGCTCTGCACATGCCCTCCCTTGGGTCCGCGCTGGCCGTCATCCAGAGAAGCAGTTCTAGTCTTTGCTTCTTGCATCACGTGACAGCACAGTGCATCCCTGTTACTGAAACTCAGTAAGCACGTGGGCGGGCTGCCAGGGCCCTGTCCCGCTGTCGTCACCTTGCAGCAGGCATGTGGCATGTCCCCTCCATGGTGACACTGAGCCTGACTGGTCTCTATGGCCATGCTGCTGGTCATGGTCAGTGTGAGTTCACACGTCTTGTGTGTGCTCTTACACGCACATTCATTGACCGAAGGCCAGGCCCCCAGGCTCCTGCGCCGTCCAAACACTCACGTTGGCTCCCTTCCTGTCAAGCCTTTGTCTGAGCCCTGAACGCCTCACCCCCCATTCACCTTGAGCTGGGACCAGTTCTAAGGCACTGCCCTTCCCTCCCAGTGTGCTCCTTCGCCTGCCACGTGGCCTGCAAGGACAGTGCCCCCCAGGTGTGCCCCATCCCTCCCGAGCAGTCCAAGCGGCCCCTCGGCGTGGACGTGCAGCGAGGCATCGGGACCGCCTACAAAGGCTACGTCAAGGTGGGTGGCTTGGGGGACATGCGCTGTCTACCCTGGACCTCAGTGCCGAGAGGTGAACGACATGGTCCCCCAGACCCCATGGTGTCTCCCGGGCAGAATGATGGGGCTCTCTACCTCCAGAAGAGGCAGCCCACGCACAGGCCCAGCTCCAGCCACACCTGTGCCCTGAAGGCTCCTCAGAGGTTTTACTGCCTGGTGATCTGTGTCCCTGCTGGTCTGCAGATCCCCAAGCCCACCGGGGTGAAGAAGGGGTGGCAGCGAGCCTATGCGGTGGTCTGTGACTGCAAGCTGTTCCTGTACGATCTGCCTGAGGGGAAATCCACGCAGCCGGGCGTGGTCGCCAGCCAGGTGTTGGACCTCAGGTCAGTGACGCCCCCGGGGAGCCTTTCCTGCTTTAACTGTTAGCTGGAGTGATAATCAGTCCCTGTGGAAACCTTTTGTCCCATTTGCATCTTTGGTTAGTGCAGTTCCAAGAACAGGTAATGCTCAGCTCTCAAAAACGTGCTGGGATCATTCCAGCTTTGAATAGTGGTGGTGGTGGTGGTGGTGTTGCTAAGTGCCGTAGAATCATAGACTTATAGAGACCCTATGAAAGAAAGACCTGAACAATGGTGTAACTTTCTTCATTTCCCTAAGTCTGTAGGGTTTCCGGAGGCAAGCTATTTTGGAAGTGGATGTCACTCCTGCTTCTGAGCTTGCAATTAGGAAGCTCCACCAAACACTGTCCACCATGGGTGACCGTTATCACATTTGGCACATCAGTGTCACAGTGTTCAGCTTCACAGCAACCACGAGTTACCTCTTTATGGCAAGTGGACAGACCACTGCTATACCACTTAGAAGAATGTTTGACCAAAAACAAAACCTGGTCTGAGTGCCACAGATTAAAATCACCCACCTTTGTCTTGGTAGCATAATTTTCTATCCACTAGGCTAACAGAGCTCTCTCTCTGACTCACAGCAATTCTGTGAACTAACCCTTGCCCCATCCTGCATCATCCCCACAATCTGAGACATGCTTGAGCCCGTTGCTTCCATTGATACAGTCACTGTATCAATCCTTCGTGTTGAAGATCTTTTATTGGATAGTATAGCATAAAAAATACGTGAACATCAGACAGCAGTGTTCCAAGAACAAGGATAAGTTGTGCGAAGGAGCTAGGCAGCCTCGCGGGCTGTGGGCACTGTGACCACTGAGGCCAAGGTCCGTGTGTAACCATGCCATCCCCCGCACGCGTTGTCCAGTGAGGCTTTCCAGCACTCGACTCCACAAGGACCGTCTCTTCCACCCCTTCCCCTAAGTTAGCATCTCTGCCCTCGGTTTCCCCACGTGTGATGTGACGTGAATTGGACCCATAAACAGGCCTAGCATGTTCACACCCTCATCCCTTCCTTAGAACGAGAGCCCCTGCCTCTGTGCCCTCACTCCCAGCAAAAGGCAGCCACACTGCTGAGCCAGGGCCCGCCTCTGGACCTCGGAGTCTTCAGCCCTGCTTCCTGAGGGCGGGGGTCCATCGCAGGTGCCGTTGACACACCAACAGAGTCCCATTTCCCAGTGTCCTCATCCCACGGGACAGGCATGGTAACCAGCTGGTCTGCTCTGGAAATGTCCCAGTGGCCTTGCACCAGCCCACACACTGCCCTGGCCTAGCAGCTAAGTGACTGTTAGCCCAAACCCACGGGCCAGGGAGCACTGGCCTCAGAGCAGCCCACGGCCCACAAGGAGCTGGATGTCCAGCGTGCTGGGAGGGGCATTTCCCAAACTGTACCCTCGACAGGCTTGCCCTGCAGAACTGAGTACAGGCCAAGTCTCAGGCATTCAAAGCTGGGCTGACACAGGTGCATGGGTGCAGTGTGAGAAGGGCTGCCTACCCTCTAGCACCCCCAACCATTCAGCTACCCACTCAGCAAGGGCCTGTGAGTGTTTGTCGATGGGGGTCCTCCGTTCTGGAAAACAGACCCATGACAGTGTCCTTCTTCGGGAGGGAAGAAGGAGGGGTGCCTGACACCAGCAATGGGGGAGAAGGCATGAGTTAAGAGAATGAGAGTCCTCAACATCACCTCTCTTACAGAGACGACGACTTTTCCGTGAGCTCAGTCCTGGCTTCAGATGTCATACATGCTACACGCCGAGATATTCCCTGTATATTCAGGGTATGGTTTTTCTTATTGTTTTGTCTGCCCCTTTTCTCCAAGTCAGGTGGTTAGGATAAAATGACTAACTTGAGCTCTCTGTTGCCCCCTTGGGATGTGCTTACACACCCGTCATCTGGTTTCTCCCCACCCCGGCCTGGCGTACACACTGAGCCTGTCCGCTGTCAGCGTGTCTCAGCCTGTGGGTTGGGCATCTCCCCTGCAGGCTTCCTCCTCCCCTCACGTCACCCTCAGGCGCCCTCCTCCCCTCATTGCTTCTTCAGGCTCCCTCCTCTCACCTCTCCCCAGCTCCTCCCTCAGGGATCCTCCCCTAACTTCCCCCTCAGGGGTCCTTCTCCCCTAACTTCCCCCCTCGGGGGTCCTCCTCTTCTCACCTTCCCTACCTCCCCCTCCTTTTTACCTGAACCCCCTTTCTTGAATCTACACCTCCTTCCCTGACCATGGTCACTTAATGCTGGACGATGCATGTGGTGCGGATTATTGAGACCCGCGCAGACCCAGCTGAGCCTCTGGGAGCCAGACCAGCACAGAAGTCCCGCAGCCCCATTTATACAGCCTAGAAATGGAGGCCACCTGCATAGTGGTTGACGTGGTTGTCCACACTGGCCCACTGTGTGGGTCAGGAAGAGGCTTCAACACCCGCACTGGGAATTTTTTTTTTTTTGTGGTTGGGGGTTTTTTGTTTGTTTGTTGGGGTTGTTTTTTTAAATGAAAATTTACAGAGACTTTGGATTCCATTCATTCATTGTTGCACATTTTCTTCCCTGCCCAACCCTCATCCCCAGTTCGCTTTTCTCTTTGAAAAGTTTAAAAAAAAAAAAGAAAGAAATTCTTTCATTGTTACACCCCCTCCCCCCAGTCCATTCCATTATGCAGCTTTCATTTTGGACTTGTCATCACCTTAATACCTAATCTATTCCTCCTAAACAGTTCTCTCCCTCATCTGTTTCACTGCAGTATACATTATTTATCCCCTCTTAGTTTCCCCGCAGCCCCAATGTCAGTCCCACTTTACAACAGTGGTACTGTGCCTTATTTGTCCTTTTGTGACTGAGATATTTCACTCACCATGTCCTCCAAGGTCACCCATTTTGTATACTGTTTCATGAGTTCCTTGTTTTTCAATGCAGCGTAGTATTGCATTGTGGGAATAGCTTCTCTGTCCATTCATTTCTTGATGGCACTTGGGTTGTTTCCAACTCTTGCCTGTTGTGAACAAAGCAGTGGTAAACATGGGTGTGCATATATCTTCTTGGATGGCAGTTACGGTCTCTTTGGGGTATATTCCCAGTAGTGGAATTGCTGGGTCAAATGGTATTTCTATTTGCAACTTTTGGAGAAAGCGCCATACCGCCATCCACAGTGGTTGTGCCTCACTGGGAGTTTAATGAGCACGGTAAAATATGGAGTTTCCACAGGGCCAAGTCTCTGAATCATGTTCTACTAAATCACTTTTTATTTAGCCCTCCCACCCTCCCAACATGTGCTAAAACAGTGACTCACGGCAGCTGGGGTCCCGCCGGCCCCTTGAAGCACAGTTCAGGCCTGCAGTTCAGTTGACTAGATTCCCCAAGCATAATCTAGAATCTGTGGGTATCTTCTTGTTGTTACTATAACTCTAGACCATATTTTGGGCAAGAACAGTTGGCCAACCTCTGAAACCCAACATCCCGCCATCTGTGGAAGTGATCAGGTTATACTCTGCCCTTTGTCGAGGGTCTCCGTCAACGAGGTGGTCGAGGAGCCGACCAGCCTGGGCAGCTCCAGCCACCCGCCAGGGTCCTGGTCCTGCGTCTTCTGTGGCAGCAGCCTGGCGTGTTTGGTCTCACAGCTGTTCTCTGTTTTGTGTTTTGTTTCCCGTTACGAAGGTGACGGCCTCTCTCCTAGGTGCACCTTCTAAGATCAGCTCACTGCTCATTCTAACAGAAAATGAGAACGAAAAGAGGAAATGGGTTGGGATTCTGGAAGGCCTCCAGTCAATCCTCCGTAAAAACAGACTGAGGAACCAGGTGGTGCACGTGCCCCAGGAAGCCTACGACAGCTCACTGCCACTTATCAAGACCATCCTGGCGGCGGCCATCGTGGGTACGTGCGGGGAGGCGGCCCTGTGGAGGCCCTGGACAGTGCGGACCGTGAACACACTGACCTCTAGCTCAAGGCTCATGTCCCCCCCGAGGCCTCTCGGAAGAAAGGCCTGGTGACCTGCTTCCCGAGCGTCGGGCTCGCGGCTGCCTCGGAAGCTGCCCCCCCAACTACACTGCTTTACACGGTCCCCCTCTCTCTGCTTCTGCAGATGAAGAGAAGATCGCCATCGGCCTGGAGGAGGGGCTGTACGTCATCGAGCTGAACCGTGACAGTAAGCGTGCTGTGCACCCCAAGTCCCCTGTGGGGAGAGCGGCTGCCATGTCCCCGGCCTGGAGCCCCAGCCCTGGCCTCTCAGTACCAAGAGCACAAGGGGGCCTTTCAGGGAGCCACTGGGGCGATAAACTGAGTCATTGCCTGTGAAATTCATAAGGAAAGTCAGATCACTGGTAAACAGATGGGCCATGGGCAGGACCGGTGTGGGAACAGGCAGCGGGGTGGGGCACAGCCCTGCTCAGGAGAGAGGGAGCAGGAGACAGGTGTGCCCCACCTCTGAAGAGGTGTCTCTGTGGCGGCCATTGGAGGATGTGGGGTGAGCTGGGCAGGGAGCTCTGGACGGGCACCGGTGTGAGGAGCTGGGCCCACCCCTGACGCCACCTCTGCCCCACAGTCATCATCCGAGCGGCCGACTGCAAGAAGGTGCACCAGATCGCCCTCGCACCCCGGGAGAAGATTGTCGCCCTGCTTTGTGGCCGGAACCACCACGTCCACCTCTACCCCTGGTCAGCCTTGGACGGGGCCGAGGGCAGCTTTGACATCAAGCTTCCAGAGACCAAGGGCTGCCAGCTGATCACCACGGCCACGCTCAAGAAGGGTTCGGCCACCTGCCTGTTCGTGGCTGTGAAGCGCCTGGTGCTCTGCTACGAGCTGCACAGAACTAAGCCTTTCCACCGAAAGCTCAGCGAGCTGGCCGCCCCCGGCCCCGTACAGTGGATGGCCATGTTCGGGGACAGGCTCTGTGTGGGCTACCCGTCCGGCTTCTCCCTGCTCAGCGTCCAGGGCGACGGGCACGCCCTCAGCCTGGTCAGCCCGGCCGACCCCTCGCTCGCCTTCCTCTCGCAGCAGTCCTTCGACGCCCTGTGTGCTGTGGAGCTGCGGGCCGACGAGTACTTGCTGTGCTTCAGCCACATGGGGCTGTACGTGGACGCGCAGGGCCGGCGGTCGCGCACGCAGGAGCTCATGTGGCCGGCCGTCCCCGTGGCCTGTAGTATGTATCAGTTTTCTGTTGCCTTTTGTCCACTGCTGCCTCCCCACCCGGGGCCAGCGTCTGGGTGCTCGCTGTGACTTGTCGTCCGGTGGTCCAGGGGCCACACAGCTGTGGAGGTGGGCGCCTGCTTCCTGAGGGGGGCTTGGGGCTGCAAGCCTGGCACCTCCAAAAGCACAGGCACCCCCCACTTGTGCTCTCATGCAGAAACTCAGGGTTCCCCACTTCATATCTTCTCCTACCCAGGAAGTCAGGGCTCCCACCCCACCTGCTCCTGCCTGGGCACTAAAGGCTGTTCGAAGCCTTTGCCAGTGCTCCTTCAGCTAAGGACCCTGTGGTGGTCGCTGGCCTTCCCAGGCGGAGTGACGTGAATAGGATAAGGGACAGCGTTTTGTCTGTCTACGACGAGGTTGTAACAAACATGGAATGAAATCGGGGGCTGGGGTGGCAGAAAAGACCTGGCACTTGAGTCCCCGTCATGCCCCTTGGGACACGTGTGTCAAAGCTGCCCTGGACACCAGCAGGCGTCTGGTCACTTGATGGGATCATTCTGTGTGAATGTCATGCTGGGCTGGGTCCGTGGGGAGTCACAGGAGTCCTGCGTTGGGTGGGGACGTGGACGGGTTCAGGCTGAAGCCAGTGCAGCTAGCCGGAGTCTGTCGTGCTGACCACTTCAAGACCCCAGGCCTCGAACCTGTCCCCAGCCCCTCAGGGACAGCACCACCAGGCCAGGTGGGGGCCACACTGTCCTCCCCCACCAGGTCGGAAACCAAGGTGTGAAACAAGTGGGGTGGTCGTTCTCTTCAGTTGCCTGAACCCACGTCTGAGTGCCGTCTCCCTGTTGGCCAAGCTGAGTGCATAGATGCCTACTCTGGGGGTGGCACCCACAGCCTCGGGGCCACCACACCTCTTTCCTCACCCCTTCACTGTCACCCTCCCGTCACACGGCTGCATGCTGCTCCGTGTCCCCTCTCCACCACACGCCCTGTCACCTTCCTATCACATGACCTCATGCTGCTGTGTCCCCTCTACCTCACGCCCTGTCACATGGCCGCGTGCCGCTCAATGTCCCCTCTCCACCACACGCCCTGTAACCCTCCCATCACATGGCCACCTGCAGCTCCGTGTCCCCTCTCCACCACACGCCCTGTCACATCACCACGAACAGGCCCTGCTCTTTGAGGTCCTTTCTGCCACAGTGTTAATTTTGACGTGAAGGAGACAGCCTCTGACAGCGGCTCCAAGGTAGCAACATCCATGCTGTGCCTCTCGCCTGGCACTGCCCACCTGGGCAGATGGCTCCCCCTTTCCCACGCACAACAATCAGCTGGAGAAGACACCACATAACCATGGGTGGTGGAGCGAGGGCATGGTGCCTGCAGGGCCCATCATACTGCTCCCAGCGGGTCGTCAGTCTTCTGACCGGCCCACAGTAACTCAGCTGGTGTGTGTTCCTCTCAGCTGACCAGTCCGTGTATCACCAGACACCTGCCACCTCCTGTGGAGAGTTCTGTGCACCCAGCCTCACACACAGTTGGATCATCATGCCAAGACATCTGGGGCCCGTTGTACTTCCTACCCAGGCCTGTTTCTTTTTCTTCATGGTGAAAAGGAAAGGTCTAGCAGGCAGGCAGCTTGGATTCCATGCTAGAAATCCCGCGCTGTGTACAGCGAGCTTTTGAAAGATACCTCTTCAGTCAGTAGGGAGCTCTGGTTGCCTAATGGGGAGGAGTTTCCAGCCTGAAGGTACATGGTTCCAATCCACCAGCAGCTGCACAGAAGATGGGCAATCTCCCATGCGATTCACTGCCTCTGAAAACCCGCTGGACGGTCAGCTATGAGTCCGTTCCCGCCTGACAGTACACAGCACCAGCTTCAGTCAGTGTCTTGTGGTGTGGTGACCACATGCCTGTGGCCTGGGGACCTAGACCCTCGGACAGAGCAGCCACCATCACAGCTCTCAGACACTGGTCGCACCGAGTAGGCTGTGCGGACACTGGCCGGTGGCACGGCAGTGACCATCCCTGAATGCTCTTAGATCTGCTGGGCATTGTCCTCCTATTGTAACCGACATGCTGTCCAGCCAGAGATGCAGAGTGGCCAGCGGTCTCTGCCTGGTGTCTGGTACATCAGGCCAGCGGCAGGGACAGGAAGATGAGAGTGTTCTTACCCAAAGTCACACCTGGACAGGCCACAGCAGAGGTCTCGGGCCAGGTGGAAGTAGACAGGTTGGGCCAACGGCCCCAGGCGTTTCTCCTTAGACATACATCCCCTTCTGGGGACCTGGCCAGCTGCTCTCCCCTCAGCTCCACCCCTCCCTGGATCCAGGCTTGTGTGATGGGAGTGAATGAGCTTTTACAGTGGTGACATGCTGTAGGAAACTAACCAGCAAAGGCTTGGAAAGGCTGCAGCCTCCAGAGTGGTAGGCGAAGCCAGGTTGGTTGCAGGGCCATTGCACACTCGTGGCCACACTGATCTGTGACGTGGAGTTAACTGGAGTGGGGACAGGAAGAAGCGCATGGCCCTTAAGCCTCTTTCCCCTCCAACAGCTCCCCGATGCCCCAATGTCCCTGTGGCTGGAATGCCACTGCCCTACTCTCACTGTTTTGCTCCTTCGTCTATACAGGCTGCAGCCCTTCCCACGTCACTGTGTACAGCGAGTACGGTGTCGACGTCTTTGACGTGAACACCATGGAGTGGGTGCAGACCATTGGCCTGCGGAGGGTAAGACTAGGCGGGCGGCTCCCTACCTCCCTTGCTCCCTTCTGGGCACTGCCACTCAGGCCACCAGGTCACTGCTCTGCCTTCCTCCAGATCCGACCACTGAACCCAGAAGGCAGCCTCAACCTCCTCAGCCACGAGCCCCCGCGCCTCATCTACTTCAAGAGCAGGTTCTCGGGTGAGCCACGGCTGGTGGGCAGGGTCAGAGGGGCTCCCCGGGCTCTGTTCCCTGCCGTCCTCTCACACGGGGCTCCTGGTTCTGCAGGCACCGTTCTCAACGTGCCCGACACCTCGGACAACAGCAGGAAGCAGATGCTGCGGACCCGGAACAAGCGCTGGTTTGTGTTCAAGGTCCCCGAGGAGGAGCGGCTGCAGCAGAGGCGGTGAGGACAGCATGGGGCCCAAGCACAAGCTCTCCTGCTGGGCAGGGCCAGGAGCCCCTCGTCCCAGCTGGCGACGTGGCACGGAGTGGGTTCTCAAAGCTCTTCTCCTTCCCCAGTGAGATGCTCAGAGACCCAGAGCTGAGGTCCAAGATGATTTCCAACCCGACAAACTTCAACCACGTGGCCCACATGGGACCCGGCGACGGCATGCAGGTGCTGATGGACCTGCCGCTGGTGAGTGTGGCCTCATAGGGCCCGGAGGGGGCACATCTGCAGAGGCCCCAAGGCCAGTCACTCTACTTTGCCCGTGGGGCGGAAAGTCTGACCTTTTCTCTGGGGCCTCAGTACTGCCTGGTTGCCCACTGTCTGGTGGCTACCTGTCAGCTGCCCCTGCTGGGTGGGAGCTCACGACACCACTCTCTGCCCAGAGCTCGATGCCCTCCACGCAGGAGGAGAGGCCCGCCTCTGCCAACCTGGCCCGGCAGCCCCCAGCCCGAAATAAGCCGTACACCTCCTGGCCGTCATCAGGTACAAGGGGACAAGGCTGGTCACATTGCCCAGGCAGAGGGCAGGCCTGAGCCCTGGCGGGGTTAGTGGAGGCCACTCTGAGACCAAGTCCTTTTCTACAGGTGGATTCGAGCCTGGCGTGGCTGTACCCCTGAGGAGCATGTCTGATCCTGACCAGGACTTTGACAAAGAGGTGAGACGGGGTTTCTGTGAAGGATGCCCCCTTAACACATGAGGGCCTGTGCGGGGAGCAGGAGCACCTGAAAGCGCGCACGCGTGTGTGGGTGTGCCTGGGCACAAGCGGGGGGGGCAGCGTCCCAGACGTGCGTGCACACTGGCCATGACTCTTTCCCTCCAACCTGTGCTGCCTCCTTATGTAGAACCTCACATCTGCTCATGGCCGTGACCAGAACCGCCACTTGATTCTACTGCAGGTGGACAGTGTGTGGACTTTGGGGTTTGGCAGAGCAGATCAATCCTAATTTCTCTTAGTGATTTCTTAGCTACTTTTAATCTCAGCCATCAAATAAACCATAAGCTAGCTTGTTGACCCATCAAAAGAAACTGAGGACATACTCCTCCCCCTCAAGACCACACGGGGTCGCCCCCATTGAGAGTGTCCTGGGTTGTTGGAAGGCATGTTTAGAGAAGCAGACTTGTTACCAGTAGACTGTCCTCACGTACTCACGTGAGTGGTGTTCACACAGCTGTGACTTAGGCCTAGGATGTGCACAGACACTTCCCAAGTGCTGACGGGCCCCACGTCCCTTTGGTGGCTTTGCATATTGTGGAGTTTTCACAGGGTCCAGGCCCGGCGTGTCCACCTGCCACAAACATGCGTGCTCACCTGTCCCTTCTCCGCCCGCAGCCGGATTCGGATTCCACCAAACACTCAACCCCATCCAACAGCTCCAACCCCAGTGGCCCCCCCAGCCCCAACTCACCCCACCGGAGCCAGCTCCCCCTGGAAGGCCTCGAGCCGCCGGCCTGTGACGCCTGAGACAACGCCACCCACACCAGCCTGTCAGTGCCAAGACTGGACTGTCGTCTGAGGAGACGGGCAAGTGTGCAGATGGGAGACGCAGAGCGCCTGACAGGCGAGCTTCAGAGCTGTGCCGATGGCATCTGTGCGCCAGCCCACCGCCCTCCGGCCCCCTCTGTGTCCAGGGCTGCTCCAAGGCTGAAGAGGGGACACAGAGGGAGGTTGTGGCCTTTAACGAGTCACCGCAGGCTCCGCTGCAGAGGGCTTTCTGCCATCCTCCCAGTCAGGGACCAGGCTGCCTGCCCACCCACCACCTGCGTGTTCGCCAGTGTCACCGTGTCCACTACTCCAAAGTCCACTGCGTTGTCACCCACTCACCTGGCTGCTGCGACCGCTGTGTGAAGCCCCACACCCGGGGCCAGCAAGCAGGCAGTGGTGCCGGGACCCCACCTCGTCCACCCCGCATGGAGACCCGTGATTCGTACCCCAGAATCGATCACGTAGACGCCCCACACACTCCGCGCCGGCTGTGGCACAGTGACGCTCATGTGTATTTAATCCCACCCTCTGTACTATATGTTGAAGGCTTGTAATTAACTGGCAGCCAGCTCCACCTGTCGTCGGCTTGGACAGTCCTGGGCACCCCCCAGGGTTCACGTCTGGGTCGGCGCAGAGCTTTGGGGCTCCCTGACACCCTGCCCACCCCCTGGACCTTCTGCCGGGGCTGGCACCGGCTGGGGGTTGTGGTTTTTACTTTTTAAATGTAAGTCTGAGTCTTTGTAATTATTGAATCGTGAGGACATTTTTGAACAATTTACCTGTCAATAAAGAAGAAGAGGGCAACTTTCAAGTTCACAAGGTCTGTCCTCACGTGTAATGGGGTCGCCCTGAGCTATCCTTTTTCCTAGAATCCTGAGTTCACCCAGACAGGAGAGCCACCTCTCAGGGTCGCTAGGTGGGCTGACCGGGGCCTCTACTGGGCCCGGGCACCCAGAGGCCTGGAAGGGGGCTAATGTGTCAGCCCCAGCAGGGAGATCCGGGGCTGGACAGTGTCCTGCCCTCCCCAAGGGCCCAGTGAGAGGAGCTGGACAGGGGACCTCCCTGTCACACAGCACGCTGGTCCCAACCCCATGTGCGACAGGATAGGGCAGGCAGTCACTGAGAGGGGACGGGAGTTTAGGGCCAGCAGGTCCCCCTCAGCTTCACTTCCCAGGGTCAGAGGCTGGCCGTGTGGGTGGGGTCAGTGTGCTGAGGGGGGGTGGGGCAGCACCTGGGCAGGTGATTCAGGTGTGCAGTGCAGGTGAGCTCTCAGGGTGCTGGCTTCACTGGATGTGAGTCCCAGTAGCCCTACAAAGGTCCCCAAAGGCATCGCTGAGCCTGGAGGTGTGCAGCTCAGGACATGGGGTGGGTGCCATGCTGGGGTGCAGACAAGTGGGGAGCACACGGTAAAGCCCAGCTGGTCCCAACTGTGCACTCGAGGGAGTTCCATACCGTCCCTTGGGGTAAGTGACCCTGTGCCGTATCATTCCTGACAGTAGGGGCAGCACAGACACCACGAGGGAAGCCTCCCAAACTAAGAGATGGCAGCCCCAGAAAAGCTGAGGAAACGCTAGCATTGTTAACCCGTGTTTGGGAAGAAGAGCGGGACAGCGCTAGGGGTCTACCTGGATTGAAGCAAATTGACTTGGAGAGGGACCGTCGTGGGTGCTAGTTCTAAAAGTGAGGTGCGTGTGGCTGCAGCAGTAGGGACTGCTGACAGGCACACACACTAAAGAGCCTTGGTGGTGCAGCAGTTAAGCACTGAGCTGCTTATCAAAAGGTCAGTGCCTCAAACCCACCAGCCCCCCTGAAGATCCACCAGCTCGCTGAAGTGCAGGCAAGCACTGGAGTCTTGGCTCCAGTGTTACGGGTTTAGCTATGGATGGGCCATTGGACCCCAGAAACCGTGAGGAACAGGACCCACCAGGAAGTGTGCAGGAAAGACACAGCCCACGACTGGGCTGTGAATTACTGAGAGGGACTCAAAACAAGCAAACGGACCCATATCAGAAGTGGAGTTACTGGATAGAGGATGGAGACTGCTTGTCTCCTGGCCTACTTTCCTGGGCTCCTAGGCCACCTGGCCAGGTCAGACCCCAGGGGATGAGGACCTGGCAGAAAAGGCCGGGGCACTCGCCTTTCCCACCCCCACACAGGATCTCTCTCAGCTGCTGGGTGTTAGCTTCTCCCACCAGGCTCTGCTCCCTCCGGTCCAGCTCCCCAACCCACCCAGAGTTGTGGGTTCTATAAGCACTAACCTGCTGGTGGCCGTTTGCTCAGCCAGGCCTGACCAGAGCCCATCGTACGAGGTGAGGTGAGGTGAGAAACAGGGTAGGTGTATACACGGCAGGCGGGTGCAAAAAAGTCCTTTATTTCAGGGCTCTTGAGCCTCCAACAGGGAAGGGGTAGGACAAGGAGACGGGGACTGGGATTTTCAGAGCCCAGGGCCAAGTCACCCAGGAACTGCAGGGGTTCAAAAGGCTCAGGCCTCTGCCTCCTCCACTGTGAACAGCGGATTGACGAAGTAGGTGCTGCTGGTGGTCCCAGCGTCCATCTGTGGGCTGGGGGGCTGGGACAGGTGTGGAGTCAGCGGCAACCAACGCTGCAAGGAATCCCGCTCCCCCAACCCCCTCAACCCTATGGACTCACCTTGCACTCCTCAGGGCCCACAGAGCCGGAGCCGGATGAGTCAAACACTGGGTTGTCGAAGCCCTGCTGGGGTTCAGCTGATGAGGCTGAATCTTCAGGACTCCGCCTCCACCTGGGAGGAGGGAGTGCAGTGTGAGACCTGGAGATGCAACCCTCTCCTTCCCCTGCACACCTGAGCCGCTGCTCTCCAGGAGTACCCAAAATCCATACCTGAGCCCCCCACACACATCTGATGCCTAACCCCCATGCACAGTGTACTAAGCCCCTAAAGCGCCTGACGTCGCCCTGGGGCCTTAGCACAGCCCCCTCCCCACCACCCCGTGTTCTATTGCCTGAGCTGCCCTCCCGCCCTGTGCCTCATCCTCCATTCCCATCACCCCATCCGCACCCAGCCTTTTCCACCCCGGTATACCTGAGCACCCCCACCTGGAGTACCTGAGCCTCCCACGCCGTACCTGAG